CCTGCCTTGTACTGTTTCCTTAATATCTTACCTCATTTTGAAAGAGGTTACAGTTTTGATGGTTTCCTGGTACACTTTCCACATCAGAGGGATGTTATTCTGTTCCTCATTCCTTTATCTTGCAACTTTGTATGGGATTTGACCTTGATACTTTTCTGTTGCTCCTCTTTTACGTGAATTTTCCTTAACTTGTAGGAGAGTGGCCTTTCTAACATCAGAGCTCCCTCTTGTGTTGATTTCAGGTAGTGTTTGAAAATACAGGGGCTGGCTTCCCACTTTTCTCGCTCTGTTCCTCTCCCCACTCTTACCTGGACTTTCTCTTTCCTCTCTACAGACTTGTCCCACTCAGCTGTGCTTCCACTCCCTGAAGTTGCTCCCTGATGTGAGCCCTATCCCAGACAAGGCCCACAAGAGCCTCCAGGGACTGAGACTGCCTGGATCTTAGTTCTCTTACTGGATGGGTAATCTTAGACAAGTCCCACAAGAGCCTCCAGGGACTGAGACTGCCTGGATCTTAGTTCTCTTACTGGATGGGTAATCTTAGACAAGTCCCCTGCCCTCTCTATACCTGTTTCCTGGCCTATAACCTCGGACTGGATAGGGCATCTACTCGAGTTGAGGACTGAGTTAAGTATAAAGCACTCAGAACAGAGCCTGGCTCTTCAGCAGCACTGTGTGTCTTCCTGCTGAGGGAGGGGCTAGCCTGAGACCCAACTTCCCTACCCAGTTAGGGGATGGGACCTAGCACCAGAGGCTCACTATCCCACCTGGTGTCTTGGCCTTAACCCTCACTGTTTACTGGTCAGGAAGGTGGCAAGTCTTGTGTCACCCCAGCTGTGGGGCTGGAACAGCAAAGGGGCATCTGACAGCCAAGTGAAACCTTGTCCAGCTGCTCCTTTGCCAGGTTCTCTGCAGGGCGGAAGCCTAGCCAGGAAACCAGACGCAGGGAGAGCAAAAGCTAGGGCTCTAGGTGGAGGTGTGGACAGGGCCCTGTGAGGCCCCAGAGGGAAGATTTGAATTCTAGATGCCCATGCAAGGCTAGGAAGCAGGCTCCGGGACAGCCTCCAACTGCTCCTTTGTTGGACAATCCCCTACCTTCTATGGCTGAGGCCTCTCCACCATCTGTCACCCCAGCTGGGCCCAGTCGGGGGGCTGAGAGCCTCGCTCAGCTCAGTGGCTCAGCTGACTGTCATCCTTATGGCTGATCAAGCTGGGCTCCTGCCTTGTTCCGAGGCCAACCACCCTTGTTTCAGTCCCAGGACGCTGTTGCACCTTCCTGACCACCCACCTACCATGCCCTAAAGCTGTGCCTTCTACCTAGGCCACCTGCCAAGTTCACTCAACAACAGGTTTTCCCTTTTCCCTCACCATCCATGGAAGTAAGTCTCAATATAGGGCCTCTCAGGGGATCCAGGGAAACTATTTGACTCAGGTAGCATGTTTGTGACAAGTCCTAGATTTAGACTTTTGTTGTTTGCCAGATGCATTGCATTTTACTTCCAATATATCAGGGCCCTCCAAAGACAATGGGTAAGAATTGTGTTGACCTTCAGAAGGTCCTGCCCAGCCTTGGATTTGGCCCCCAACTCCCCAAGTCCACCCAGACCTCCCCTCATTGCCTGCTTCCACCTGCCCCTCGCTGCTCTCTGGGCACATGTTCAGCCTTGCCTGATCACACTTTCCTCAAGTGTCATGAGGCTCCTGCAAGAATAAGTCAACCTTCACCCAAAGTCTCAGAGACCAGTAGCTCTCCCACTGCACCCACATACACAAAGAAGGGAAGGGGTGATGAGCAGAGAATAAAACAGCCTGTAAGAAGCTGAAGCTGGGCTCATCGTCTAATTAAGAGGCAGCTCTTGACCCATGTCTTGGCTCCAAAGTACACCTATACTACAGCTAGATTTAAAAGATAAATGAGTTACGAGTCACTACATATTAGAGACCCTCAGGGCCAACTGTGAATGGCTGACAGTGTATCTTAAAAAGCAGATGCCCAGGTGACCAGCTACATTGTGTATTGGTCTGCAGTGAGCAGCAGCATCGGCATCACCTGGAAGCTTGTCAGTAACACAGAATTTTGGGCCCTACTGGCGAGTTGCTGAGTCAGTCAGCTTTTTAAGTGCATCCCCAATTATCTGGGCCACATTAAAGGATGAGCAGCTCTGGTCTAAAGCAGCCACTTCAACCCTGGCTGTACATTAGAATTACCTGGAGATCGTTTAAAACCACCCATCTCTGGGCACTCCGATTTAATTGGCCTGGGGTGTGGTCCAAGCATTGCTATATTTAAAAGCTCTCCCGTTGACTCTAATGCATAACAAGGATTGGGTCCCGTCACAGCTGGCATGCTCTTGGGCCACTTGCTAGCCTCTGAGCCTTACCCTCCAAGACTGTGAAGTAGGAATAAAAGTGACTCTTTCCTGGGCTTAAAAGAATTTCTGATTAGAGGCTGTCCTTCATGCACAGTAGGAGCTCAACAAAGGGTGGCTGGGAGGAACACGACCTCAGATTGCAGACTGCTTCTCAAGGGCAGGGAAATTCACTTCTCCTCCAGTGCCCTCACCCCCAGGTCCAAGTAGCCCCCTAGCCAACACAAGCCCCCTTGTCCCAAGCCTTGGGTTCTCAGTCCAGGCAGAGCTGAAGCTGAAGGGGAAGCCAGTGACTCAGCCTTGCCACCACGATCAAGCTTAGGGTTAGGAGAATGCACATGAAGTTCAGCATAATAAACATGGGGCCATGTCTGCCGTTTCCCATCACTGATTTTAAACATTCTAGCCTTTGTTTGGAGAACACGAGAGCCACATTACTCAGGGACAGCAGAGGCTGTTTTCACTAGCTTCGCGGTTTAGAGGAATTATCTCCTGCTTTAGGGGACTCCAGTGGAAATTCTTGAGAATTTGTCTCACGTAAATCATTTCTTGGCAACAGAGATTTAGGAACTTTTCTTCCTAGAAAAATCTTATCTGAGCTCCAGACCAACTGGGCCACTTTGTGGGAGGAGGAGCAGCTTGCTGGTCTCAGTGAAGACAGAGCAGCTCCGCCAGCTCAGGATGCTTCTTGTCCTGCCTCCACCTTACCTCCCGGATGCTGCCAATTAATGCCAATCACTGAAGACAAGGATTGCCTAGATTAGAAGTGGCCCAGGAACCAGGCTTCAGATCAAAGTTTTCTAAACTCACCCAATCATAGGACTCAGCTGGGAGCGTTGATCCTGTTCATGCCAGTTCCCAGGGCTCATCCACCCACTGGGCCAAGGTTTCCAGGAGAGACTCTAAAACTTGTACTTTCAACAAGTGCCCCAAATAACAGCTCCCACTTATTAAGAACTTAACCTGTGCCAGGCATTGGGTTAAGTGTCTATTAATTAAAGGCACTTTAATTAATCCACTCATTTAATCCTCACAAGAACCTAGAAGTTAAGCAACTTGCTCAGGATCACACAATGATCAAAGGACAGGGCCAGATCCCACCCAGATAACGGGACTGCAGAGCCCTCAAACCAGGGGGCAACATGGCTTCTCAGCTAGAAATGTCAATAAGATTCTAAACCTAGGAACGAGGACTTAAGGGCCTGGGTGGGGCTGCATACTCTCCAGGAGATAGTACCAATGGCAGTTCAAAGGGGAGCATTTTCTGCAACCTGGGAGGGTAGCAGCCAACAAAGAGGCCTTACTCTGGGGCCCTTAGGCTGTCCCTGGGCCATGCACTCAAGGCAGCCGCCCTGCCTGCTCATGGCTTCGGAGAGCTGCCCTCCCCAGAAAGCTCCACCCCAGGGCAGCTGGGTGCCCTCTGTACCAAGGGTGGAAACAGGCAGTAGTTCCCAGGGAGTCAGCTGGCACTCCCCATAACAGCTTGCCCTTCCCCTGCAACCCAGGGGTCCACTCAGGCAGGCAGCAGAGAACATGGGACATCTGCCTCAACTACACGCCCCCAACGCTTCACTTGGATGCCAGCTCTAACAGCTTTAGGATCACAGGCTGATGGCTCCAAACAAGCTCCCCCTTTCTCACTTCCCTCTCCCAAAGAGAAAACAAGAGCCTTGCTCACCAAACTGCATACCTCCCGGAAATGCAGCCTGCCTTGAGATCACCCTGCTAGCGACTTCTCCAGTGAACCACAAGGCCCACAGCTGACACAGGCCTGAGTGAGGCAGTAGGAAAACCTCAACATTTAGCAGAGTTAATGGGTCTCCATGGGGACAAATCATATTCTAAGAGCTCAAGGGGACAGGCCAGAGAGCAGGTCCCCAGGAAGAGGGGAAGGTGAGTACAGTAGGGACGAATCCAGCTCCAGGAAGGTGTCTGAATGGACCCCCTAAGTTTCCTCCACCCTTACTGCTGATGTGGGAGCTGGAAGTCAGAGAGGCCTCAGGTTTTTGGGGTGCGGGTGTTGATCTACTTTTGCCTCAAAACACGGAAAAACTCCAACAAGGAAAGTAAAACCTCCCAAGGCCAAGCCTCCACCCACCTTCTCCTGCTCTGGTTCAGAGAGCTCTTACCTGCCCCACAGCAAGGCCCCAGAAGACAGGACAGGGCTAGACAGGGCCTTGAGAGGCACAAGATCCCACCACTGGTTTGGGGCTTTGGGGCCAGTACAAAGTACTCACATCCAGAAGTGTGTGGCTAGCTGCAACAGACTCCTCAGATTGAGAAACTCCCTCAGCCAGCCCCCGGAAATCTTGCCGGGGGCGGGCAGGGCAAGGCCGGGCCAGGGCAGGGGAATCACTTCCCGGAGGCGGCAGCGCCCAGCAGGCTCAGGGGTGGGGCCTGAGCATTTAAAGGGCCCTTGCAGCTGAAGACACTGTGGCTCATTCAGCGCTCAGGAATTTGCACCTCAGAGTCAGCTGGCAGCCCTGGAAGGGTGAGACAGCCCAAGCCAGGGGCACAGGGGCTGACTGAGTTCACCTCTGTCCATCTAGCTTTAATTTCCTGGTCTGGGGGAACACAATTCTGCCCCTCCACAACTGTTTGGCCTCCAGTTGCAGCCCCTCCGCTAAAAGATAACTTTGCATTTTTTATTTTAGATTAAGAAAATTCAGCACACATGTCCAAATAGATGTTCAACAGAAAACATAAACACACACACATACATCCTCTATCTGGCAAGGTGCTGTGGTTGGGAGCTTGGAGTTCCTCTCCTTTTCCCAAGGTTCCCAGTGCCCTGGGTTAGGGAAGGAGGGCCAAGGCCCAAGCAGGTCCACATTCTGCATCCTAAAGGCAGCAGCAGCAGTCAGTATTTCCGCTGCCGGGGGAAGAGACTACTCCCCGAGGACCGGAGTGGGGGGCTGGTGGAGCTGGGGTCCTCTGCGTCCAGGCTGAAGAGGTCCCTGCCAGTACGAAGGATCTGCTCCTCCAGCTTTTTGTGTCGCTTCATGTCTGAGAGGACCTTGTCCAGGCGGGCCTCCCGTTTCTGGCTCCGGGCTGAGCTTCCTGGAGAATGGGAAGGTGAGAAACGTGGGAGGAAATGAGGCAGTGTGCACCAGACCTGCCTGGATGGTACTAATTACTTGGGGAGCTCGTTAAACATTCTGATTTCCATGCCTCTTGCATGGAGGTTCTGAGGTTTAGGGCTGGGCTCACATGGGCTGGGCAATGAAGGTTGGAATTATGAAAAGGTGCCAGTAATGTGAAGACCAGGGAAGAGCAAGAGCAAAGGCCTTAGGGGAGGAACAGGGAGGGCTGTTCAAAGAGGAGCTGGAGAGTAGAGAGCTGGGCGAGATGTGAAAGATGAGGCCAAAGAAGTGACATCCAGGTCCTGACAAGGCGTTTGGAGCTCTTCGTTTAAATGGAAATGGCTTTGGAAGCCTTGATGGCCCAGGGGGTGAGGGTTGGATTCTCTCTGACACACTCTTTCCCACCCCCCAGCAATAAAATCCTTTGGAGAATTTTAAACGGAGAAGTAACATGACCTATGTTCTAAAAGAATCATTCCAGTTGCTGAGACAGGAGTCCAGGAGACCAGTTAGGAGCTACTACAACTCTCCAGGCAAGAGAGATGTGGCTTGATTGAGGGATTGGTGTTGAAGGTGAGGAGTAGCAGACGAACTTGGAAATGTAGAGGCAGAGCTAACAGGATTTGCTGCTGACTTGAATGCTGGGGTAAAAGAGAAATCAAGATGGCTCCAAAGATAAATTCTAGGAAGGCATGTGGGGTGAGAAATTGGTTCAGATGAGGAGATGTAACTGAGTACAGCAGTATAGGGGTGTGGATCTATATAATAACAAGTGACCAGGAAGATGGACTTCTGGGGAGATGGAGATGAAAGGAATGGGAAACACGACAGACCTTTCTGTGACAGTCTCTTAAAGGAAGACAGGGTATCCATCTAAGCTGGAAGGATGGCACCATGGGTGAATGCTCTCTCCTGCAACTAGAAGTTGTGTAGCAACCAAGGCACCAAGCAAAGGCCTCTTTTAGGGAGTCAACTTTTGGGTAAATGGGAGCAGAGGCCCTTCACCTCCCCCCAACACTTCCCTCTTGTCTGTACCTGGGGTGCGTCTCCGGTCAATCAGAGAGTCCTTTGGTGTCATTGGCTCATCATCAAAGTCAAATTCTGTAGGCATGTGCGGTCTGGGACAAGTGGACATAGAGTGAAAGGTGAGGGTGGTCCCCCCCAAACACCCACACCATGAGCTTCTCCCCAGCCTGCCGGCTCTTCTTCTGCTCTCTTCCTTTCTCCACTTTCCATGCTCCTAGGTCCCACCTCCCTTCCCTATCTCTTCCTGGCATCAAGGGAGCAGCCTCAGGGACAAGGTGTAGGGGTATGCCCTCACTTTTCCTCTTCCTCCTCTTTGGCCTCAGGCTCCTCATCGGATCTCTCCTCTTCACTCTGGGCTTCAGGCGTGGGTGGACGGCGGGGAAGGATCTCAGCTTGAAGCTCCAGGGTACCGTGGGTAGCCAGCAGTTCATAAAGCCGCTGGATTTCGGAGGGGGGTGGCATCCAGGACTGCCCACCTGCGGGCAGCTCCACCTCCTCATCGCTGCAGGGCACGCACCAGTCCTCGGATTCTCCATTGGCATGTTCTTCACCCTCAGCGCTAGGGGCTTCTCCCTGCACCTCCTCGGCCCTTGACCCCTCACGCTCGGCCTCCTCCCGGCTTCCTTCCCCCTCTTCCTCGGCTTTACTGGCCGAAGCAGAGGGGCCTCCGGTATCCTCCACGGCCAGAGCTTGAAGGCCGGAGGTCACCTCCCCTTCTTCAGACAGAGGCACCGCCGTGGTGGCCGTAATGTCTCCATGACCCCGGACAAGGGACATAGGCCACTAGAGAACGGGCCCTACGATGATAGGAGATGCACGAGTACTAAGCTGGGGGGGGGTACCCCGCTCTCCCCAGGGGATTAGGGAACGTCTCTCCAATCAGATTCCAACAGCGGTCCCTGCGACCAGCCTGTCCCTTCCCAGGAGGGGGCGCTCAGTCCCCCCCAAGGATCCCGCCCCACGGATCGAGATCCAGTACTCCAATGTTCCCAGGGATCGACAGAAACTACTTTCCGGGCAGGAGAGAATCGGACGTGCTCTTCTCGCCTTCACTCCGCCCCTCGCCACATCTGTATCCGACGCCCTCTCCCCACACCTCGCAGTTCCGCCACCTCAGCCGGGGTACGCACCTGGAACTAAGACCCGCCTCCTGGGCTGCGCAGGGTCACAGTACGCAGGCGCAGAGATGGCGCGGGAGGTCCACTCTAGTTAAGACTACTTCGAAGAGGAAAGCAAGGGAAGGCTTGTGCACATGCGCAAGTAGGCCCTCGGGCATAATAGGCGTCGGCCCACAGTAAAGATGGCCACTGGGATGGCACATGCGCATACCACCTAGTGGGTTACCCCGGAAAGGAGGCGGCGGTCCCACCGGCCCCCCGGCGGACCGACGCAAGGACAGAGGCTGAAGGCGAGTCTCATGCAGTCTCCGTTTATTAGTGTTTCAGACTCATGCAGCATCCGGCATACAAAAAGGGACAATCAGTTTGATGTATCCTTTTTTTTTTTAGACTTGTAGTTTTTTCCCTCCACACTTTTTTTAGAAAACAAAAAAACCGCCAACTCCAAACTGCGTCGTAGCTGGGTCCCTGCCTCCCCAGCGGGCTGTCGCGTGCAACAAACCTCCCTCGTCCTGTCAGAAAATTATAGAGCTCCCCGCCCCTCCTTCGCTCCATGCAGCTGGGAGCTTTGGTCCTATCTTGGGGGTTCTTTCGTTACAAAGCACGTGAATGACCCCAGCCCCAACGCCTTTAAGAAACTCGCTGACTCGGTTAAAAAGCCCAGGTCAAACAGGCCAACTCAGGCTGACCTGGGGGGGGGCGGTGGTCAACAGCCGCGCCCTTCCCTTCTCCCACTGCATGTTCGAAACAGTGTTCCCCACACCTGCACAAGTCCCCAAACGAGGCCTGGCTTGCCAGCTCTGGGACCCGCGAGGCGCCCTGGGGGCGTCTGGGCCGGGGTGGTCCCAGCAGAAAATAGGCGGAGCCCAGGGCTAGGGAGCCCCTCTCAAGGCACCGCTCCCCTCCCCCAGACTGATCTAAGTGCTGGAGTCTGCAGAATAAGCGGTGGCAGGAGGATGGAGGAGAGGATCCTGAGGGGAGGAGAGGATGCTGAGGGGAGAGGAGGAGGCAAGAAGGGGAAGGGGGAGGAGGGTGTGGAGAGGGAAGGGAAGATGCTAAGACAATGAAAGTTAGGAGGGGAGACCAGGGTTGAAGTGCAGGGAATTTGGGAGGTTGGAAGAAGTGCAGGAAGGATGGCAGAGATGCAGGGAGGCTGAGAGCAAAGAGAGTCTGGGAGGTGTTCAGGGAAGTTTCCAGAAGTGCAGGGAGAGGGAGGCCAAGAGGCTGGAGGGGATGCAGGCAGAGGTGCAGGAAGGCTGGAAACAGTGCAGGGAGAAAGGAGGCCTACAGTTGGCAGAGGAGCCTGGCAGGATGCAGGAGCAGGAAGGAAGCTGTAAACAAGGCCGCTCAGGCTCCCTTGGTCCCTATGGGTGCAGGCCTGGGCCATCGATTGGGCTCCCCCAAGGGGAGGATGGGCCCAAGGCAGCTCCCAACAGGAAGAAAAATCTTGGAATGCAGGGCAGAGCCCCTCACTTATACACTGTGGGAGAGGAGAGGAAGGGAAGGACAGAAACAGTAGGGGGGAGAGACAAGGAGAGACAAAGGAGAAGTAGAGAGGACAGACAGGAGAGAGCAGGGGCAGGGGTTAGTAGAGCTGGCCTTGCCAACCCTTCCATTCCTCCCATCCTGTCCCAGACCCCCACTCACCGCCTAAGTTGATGACGCAGGAGGCGATGATGATGAGGACCCCCCCTACCAGTGCCACGATGCTTAAGAGCTTGGCCACGCGGCCCAGACGCTGGGCCCCATCCACGTCCCCCTGCTGCAGGCTGTTCCGGGACTGGGGTTAGGGTGAGGGGTGGGGGCACCGTGGCCCAGGTCAGGAGAAGCCAACCCAGCAGGGATCAGGTGAAAGAGTCGTCCGGCCCGTGGACAGTGGTTAAGGGAGGAAGGAAGGTTGGAGAAGTAGGGGGAGGAGGGCACAGGTCAGCAAAGCTGTGTGAAACATGTCCTGACGTCCCTCCCACCTGAGGGGTAGGGCAGTGGTGGCTCAGAGGGTGAAGTCCTAGGGAGAGGCAAGCAAAGGCCCCATAATTAGAAAGTGAGATCCATGCAGAGAGGGAAGGGAAGGCGAGGCTACTCCTGGGGCTCTGTCCCAGTGCTGGCAGGAAGCTGGGAGCCACAGCAGGCCTGGGCCAGGGTCCCATAGGACTCACCATGACAGCATAAGCGAACGCCACGATGTTGACAGGCCACATGGGGCAGAAGCAGGACAGGATGGCGAGGATGATGTAGTCCCGAGGCTTCTGGGTGCCTTCACCCCCCTCCACCCCAGACCCTGCCAGCTGGGAGCTGGGGTGGCGGCTCAGGCTACCTCGGGGAGATCCTAGATGACCACGGTGAGCCTTTCCTAGTCGTTCCTCCTCAACTAGCTGCTGTAGCACACGAGGAGGAGCCCCATTGGCTGGGGGGGCGTTTGTTGAGAGTGGTGAATGAGGCTGGGGGGCTGGCCCTTCTTCGCCATCGCCAGCCTGCAGGGGAACCACTACCCCATTCTCCTGCTTTTCCCCCACACTCTCTGTGAGGACCGGAGTGGGGTCCTCCGCTTGAGTAGAGGGCTCCGGCTGAAGAGCTGGCTTGAAGGTGGGCTGGGAACCTGGGTGGGGGTCTGGCTGAGGGACTGACTGGGGGCCCAGCTGGGGAGTGGGCTCTGAGGCTGGCTCAAGTGGGGCTGCAGATTCCAGGTCTGACCCCTGGTCTGCAGTGGCCTCTTCGCTCACTTCGGGTTTGGATGCTGGCTCTTGGCATGCTTCTTTGGGGCTGGAGTTGGCTTTTGATTCCCCTCCTGGGCTTGAGCTGAGGTCTCTGGCCTGGGCTGTTTCTGGGGCCCCAGTTGGGGTCTCTGTGGTTTCTGGAGCCAGCCCAGCCTTGGGCTCTGAGTCCACAGGGGCCCCAGTGATGTCTGGGCCTGGGTGCAGGGCCTCTGGCTCATCTGGGACCCCAGCTGGGACCTGGAGAGGGCCAGTTCTGGCTTCAGAATGGCCAGACCCTTCTCCTTGGGTCTGGGGACCCTCCTCTATCCCTTTCATCTCAGAGATCTCAGAGCTGCTGGCTGCCATCTTGTGTTGGGAAAGGGGAGAGGGCCTCTGTGGGAAGGATGGAGCAGCAGAGAGAGCAGCAAATCCTGGAAGAGGAGGAGACAGGCTTGGTGTGAGGAGGGAAGAGGGGGCTCTCAGCACTGCAGCCCAAGAGAGCTATGCTCCCGTCTCAGGGCTACCTCAGGCTGCCTCTGGGGAGAGGAAGAAAAGTTGGGGTTTCCTTTGCCTTGGGGTGGGACTTCTCTGGGGAGCAGTGCTCTGCGCAAAGTAATCTGCTTGGAGAGCAGTGGGAAGATTAACCATTTTGTAAACAGGACCCTCCCCATGGTCTCTTCCCGGGTCCACCCAACAAGATCCAGACTCTCAGATCCTAGCAGATGGCTCAGCACCCCGAAATCAACAAGCTGTGCAGACACCCGTACACTCTGATAGGCAGACTGGGCAGAGGACCCGATACTCACATTCCACTCCCTCTGCATCCTCCCCTCCTCTGGGCACCCAGCTAGTGCAGTTTTCTTGCTGCGCGTTTGGGGCGCAAACGCCTCCTGCCCCTCCCTGGGGAATCTGGGCATCTCCTCTGAGCCCCTTCTCAGCCCCTCTCCCAGGGATTCCCTCGCCCTGGAGGACCTACGCCTCCTCCCATTGGCGTGGCGCGCCCAGCACCACCAGCCAGTCCTCCAGGCGCCCGAATTCCCGTGCAGCGTCCGCCGTCTGTCCGTCCACTTCTACCCGCAGCCTCAGCCCATCCCCGTCTCACCTCGACGCTGGCCTCCAGACTGCTCCCACTGCAGCTGCCACCGCTGCCACCGTTGCAGCAGCCGCAGCCCGGGAGGGAGTCAGCGAGCCAAGGAGGGAGGCGGCAGGTCTCCCCTCCCCTCTGCTCGTCCCCTCCTCTCAGGTCCCCTCCCCTACGCTCTGCTGCCGCCGCGCGCCGCCCCCGCCCCTTGCACGCTCCCGCCCCTCCCCGCCAGCCCAAGGGAGCCACTCGTGCCAGGCCCCGCGTTACCCGGGCAACTGGCCGGGGGACCACTCACGCTGCCTCCCTGCCTCTTCCCACGCGCGCCTCCCGGGGGTGCCTCCTTCCCAAGCCCCGGGCCCCTCCCGCCAACGGTCACCGGGGGTCCTGGTAGAAGTAGGGGGTTGGAGAAAACGGAGAGGGCTCTTCGAGGAAAGACAGGACCAGTGAGACAGGCAGGACCATAGGGAGGCACCCCTACAAGCAGAAAGATGGGAAGGGAGATGAGGCAAAATGTGGAGAGGCTGCAGAGTAAGAGCAGGGTGAGGTTTCAAGAGAAGGGAGCCTGACAGGAAGTCCCTCTACCCCCTAGGAAGCAGCAGAAATGGGTACTGGAAGGCTCAAGAAAAGGGTCCCTGAAAAAGCCAGAGCAAGGACAGGGAAGGGAATTCCAAGGAGCAGGGCAGGGGCTGCAGGGGCAGTCTGGAACAAGACGGGGCTGGAGCAGAGAAGCCTGAGTAAATACATGGTGGACCATGCCAAGAATGAAGGGGACACGGTGGGGAGAAGTGCAGTTTTTATTCTCAACCTTACTGCTCCCGGTCTTAGGGCTCAGACCTGCCCAGCCTTTCTGCAGCTGCATCATCCACCATCACCTCAGGGACTTAAGGGTGTACAGGTATTTGGCTGGGATCTGAGCAGCAGGCCATGGGTATAGATGGTGGAGAGTAGCATCTATGTCCAGCAACTCTGTTTAGGTTTCTAACCCAGGCCTCTTCAAACCTCCACTGGCTATTCTGGGCCTGTCCAGATTGGGTATTCCCCAGAGATCTGGGAGTCCTGGAACTTGCTCTCCACAGCCACTAGAGCCTTGGCCCCACCCTGTATCTGGGCTGCAGCTACTGGTGCTGCCTCTGGAGAGGGAGGAGTCAGAGCCTGGGAGCCACACAGGCCAGAGCAAGACTGGGCCTGACACCAGGCCCAAAAAGAAACCCTTGGTGGGTGGGGACAGGGGGCTTGGTGAGAGCAAGTCATTCAATCCAGAGTCAGAGACAGGTTTTTATTTAAAATTTATTGTAATGGGGTCCGCGCAAAAGGAGGGGGTGAAGGATGGGGAACATGCAGGGGACACAGGAACACGATGACATGGCCAGGGCCATAGCTTCTGTCGTGGGGGAGAGGGATGAAAAGAAAAGGCCAGGGCTGGAGCTGGGGTAGAAGAGGGAAGGGGGAGACACTGCGGCTGCATTCCCCCCACCCTAGGAAGCACCTCTAGGCCCTGGACCCCCCCATTTACCCTGGCCCCCTAAGATTCCATCTCTTGTCTTGCCTCTGGCCCTAGTGGCTCCTTCTGCTCCCCTTGACTTGTTTTCCCCTGATGATTCTCAAGTAGGATGTTTAGGGCCTGAGCCCAAACAACCCAACCTTATGAAGGTACAACCTCTGCCTTCTCCGCTTCTGCCCCTTCTCAAATCTCACCTTTTCCCCTCCCTGGGACAGAATCTTTTGATTTCCCTCCTTCCTCTCCTCCCTCCCCCTGAAAAAAAAAAAAAAAAGCACCAACTCCCCAGGGAGGGGCAGCAGACAGTTGGGGGAGGGGCTGGAAGGAGGGGAGCAAGGACCATCAAGGGAGAAGGCTCGCAAATCCCTGGAAGAGCAGGGCAGGGGCTTACAGAGAGGAGAGAGGGTGAGGGCAGTGGCCACTCCTGTCCTCTGCCACCCCTGCCCACTGTCCAGGGGGCTTCAACACAACGGAGGGAACAGGTGTGTGTGTGGGGTCAGGTCTGATAAGGAGAAGAGAGGAGCAGGAGAAACAAATTGTTAAAACCTAGCGAATTCCCCTAAGAAAACATTTCTTCCTCTTTTCCTTCTGGAGGCTCCTTGGTTGGTGAGTGAAGTGTGAGGAGTTGGTGGGAAGAGAGAGGGGAAGAGGAGATGATACCAAGGGACTTTCCTCCATTTTCCCCTCTGCCCCCCACCAACTTTGAGCTCACCAGGGCTGGGAGGGAAGTGGCTGAGAGCTCACAGGCACCCCCTCGGCCCCCGAAAGGGAGCCCACTGCTGTGGGGGGGGCTGCTACTGCTGCTGCTGCTGCCGCCGCCGCTGCCGCCGCCGCCGCAGCCATTGGACAGACCTCACCAGTACCTGCACGGCGAGAAACACCAGAAGATCACAGTGCGATCTGAATGGCAAGAACTTTGCCCCTTGCCCCAGACTCTTTCCCAGACTCCTTCCCCTGGGACACAGCCGTTGCTCACTTCCTATTTGGTCCCCAGAGACTTCAACCTGCATCCTTACCCAGTTCTGAAGGGCCCTCCCTGTCCCCAGAAATCTCCCTACTTTGAGTGATAGATGGGCATCCCTGGCCTTCCTGAGATCCCCTATTGGGCCCTCTGAACCCCCTTGTCCCACATGCCCATCCCACCCCCCCCAGCCATGCCCCACGCCTTGCCTGGTGGGTGCAGGGGTCCCCCTCAGCAGGTGGGCTGTGGCTGGGGGGCATCTCCCGGGACAGGGGGGGCGGCCCCCCCCAGATGGGTCTGCATGTGGCCGGCCAGCTGGGCGGGGGTCTTGCAGTGCACGCTGCACAGCTTGCACAGGATGCGGTCAGCCCGCGGGGCCTGGAGCCCATGGTCCTTCACCGCGTGGATGCGCAGGTATGCTGCCGTGGTGAAGCCTATGGGGGGGGGGGTGGATTGGGATGGGGGGATGGGGGTCAGCCAAGCGGAGACCCCAGAGACGGGGCTGTTCTCCTAGGCTGGGGACGCCCTCCTCAGATGGCCCTGTCCTCCTCCCACCACATCCTTGGTAACCTGGGGACAACTACTCTGCTGGGGCTGGTGGGGCACAGCCCTTAAGCTTGGGGCCTGGTTGAGTGGTGTCAACTTCGTGGCCTTAGTACCCTCATCAGAGCCCATTCTCCATGGCCACGGGATCTATCCTAGGGTGACAGGACACTGATTCCTAACCACTTGTAGGGCTGACCCTCAGCAGAGACGGCTGTGTCCCCTCCCTCCAGTGCCCCATACAGTCTCAGCCCAGTTACTCAGTGAACAAGTCAATCTGTTTAAAAGCAGTTTTCTCTGTTACTAGGGTAGGACGTGTGCTTGCTAAATGCTTGCCAAAGTACTCCACTCGCCCCAGGAGCCAAAGACAAGAACTAGTGGCTGCACAGCTGAAACCTTGCCTTCCAACCCTTGGGAACTGGCTCTCTTCATCATTCCTTCCCCAAAGCAGCCATATGTCCCACTCCCATTCTCCCAACACACACCCAGAAATTGACTCTTTCTGGTAGCAATCTTTTCCAGCCATGACCTCTTAGAACTTAGTGATCTTCAGTCGTCCCAGTGTTGCTTCATTTGCTTCCTAAAGGGCTCTAGATGCCATGAGCTCTTGGCTGCATCACCTTTAACCCACATCTGTGGAAGGGCTTCTGGGTTTGTCCCCACCCTTTGTCCCTGGCCCTCCCGGCATCCCTCAGCATGTACCTTTGTTGCAGAGCTCACAGACATGGTGAGGGCCCTGGCTGTGCACCTTCATGTGGTCCGAAATATAAGCCGAGCTCAGCATCTTGCCACACACATGACATGGCACCTTCTCCTCGTGTCGTACTGTGTGCGCCCGAAGTCGATCCTTTGTAGCAAAAGCTGCCTCACATTTCTGGGGAGGGGGGAGGGGCGTGGGGGGTGTCAGGAGAGTTAAAGCTTTGGGGAGTAGGGAGAGGGGGGCAAGAGGTTAAAGGAATCAGAGCCTTGGGGATCTTTGATCTGTAGGAAATGGGAGTGAGATGATGGGGTCTTGAAGAAGGGATGAGAAAATGGAGTGAAAAAGCAAAAAGAGAGAGAAAAAGGGGGTCTGAGAGGCTGAACTCAGACAGCTACAATGAGGATCAAAATCATGAAAACCAGGACAGGAGGAGGCGGGCTTCCTACCTCACATTTGAAGGGCCGTTCTGTTGAGTGTACTTGTCTGACGTGACTGTTGAGGTGATCCGGCCTGGGGATATGTTGGGTTTGGGGTTAGGGCCCTGGGGTGTGGAGGTGCCCCCAAATCTGCCTAATTTCGTAGGCACTACAGGCCTTTCCAAAGGTCCCTGGATTTTCTCCTAAACCCGAGGCTTCAGAGTTCTAGTTAGGTAAGAAATCCCTCCCCTCGCACAGGGCTGTCTCATGCTCCTCCCACACGAAGCTTTCCTACTACCCAACGACCCACCTCCTCTGCTAAGTACCACCCCCTGCTCCCTGGTAACTAGGAGAGGCTTTCCTCCCTCCTTCCTGGGAGTGGCTCCCGGTCCCCATCCTCAGAAACCTCCTCCCTCCCACCAGCCAAGGCCAGGCCACCTCCGTTGCTGTCCTTCCCTTCCTCCCTCCCAACCCGCAGAGTGGGCGGCTGAGGCCCTGTGCACACCGGGAGAAGCTCTTGCCACAGTGGGAGCAGTTGTAGGGCTTGTGCACAGCGCCGTCATGTGAGCGCACGTGGTAGCTCATGCGGTCCTTGCGCTTGAAGCGCTGCTGGCACACCGGGCACTGGTAGGGCTTCTCGTCCGAGTGCGACAGCTTGTGTCGGTTCAGGTGGTAGACGTCGCGGAAAGCCTTGCCGCACATCTCACAGGCGTGGTTCTTCCGGATGCGCTTTCCCGAGGCGGTCGTGGTCACCACGCCACCAGCGGCCACTGTGGCCGCTCCGCCGCCGGCTCCCGCTTCTCCCCCTCCCCCGCCGGCTCCACTCAGCTGGGGCACGCTCAGAAGGCTCAGGGGCACCATAGTAGGCATCTTCATAGCACCCGAGGGGACTCGGCCGGCCTTGGCTCCCGTGTGGATGGCCTCGTGCCTCCGGAGATTGTAGCCGTTCTTGAACTCCTTGGCGCACAGGGCACAGATGTAGGGCCCTTTGCTCTTTGTCTTCTTCTCCAAGGCAGATGCGACCGGGGCCACGGCGACCGTCGAGGCTGGCGCT